TACATATTATTTTCATGAGCAAACCATCCCATGACAATGGATCGTGTAGAGAAGAATGTTAAGAAAAGAAAATATAGTGAGGATTTTTTTACAGTATGGCTTTACTTCAATAATTACAGCAGGAATTAAGAGACTGCAATATGTTATTTGTTGTGAAGTTCTATCAGCCGAATATATGAAGCCAAACAAACTAAAATGCCATTTGATAACAAGCATCCGAGCTTTGCTGGCAAGGATACCAACTATTTTAGAAACAAAGTTGATGGACTCAGGAAAGCCAGACTTGACCCTGGTGGCAAGTACCACAAACAAAATGTAGCAGCCTTTGAAACTTCATATTTGGTGGCACTCAGAATCACCAGAGCTATGAAACCTTACACCATTGCTGAGGATTTACTGTTGCCAGCAGCCAAAGACATTGTTCAAGTTATGATTGGAGACGAATTTGTTACAAAAGCAAGTGCAATTTCCTTGTCTAACGACACTGTCCACAGAGGAAATGATGACATGTCTGCTGATATTCTTGATCAGGTAATGCAGGAAATTAAATCTGCTCCACTTCCAATATTTAGCATCCAGCTTGATGAATCTACAGATATTGCAAACTGTTCACAGTTACTGGTTTATGTGAGGTATATTAATGATGGCGACTTTAAAGATGAGTTTCTTTTTTGTAAACCTCTTGAAACAACAACTACTGCACATAATATATTTGACACAGCAGGTTCATTTCTGAAAGAGCATAAGATCTCTTGGAAAAAGGTTTGTGGTGTTTGCACAGATGGTGCTCTAGCTATGCTAGGATGTTGATCTGGATTTCAATGTTTGATACTGAATGAGTCACCAAAAGTCATCAGAACTCACTGTATGATTTATTGGCAAATAGTAGCAACAGAGACGCTGCCATAAGAGTTACAAGAAGTCATGAAAAGCGTCATAAATTCCCTTAATTTAGTAAAGGCGAGCACTTTAAACAGTTGACTTTTTTCGCAACTGTGCAATGAGTTGGATGTGCTGAATAATGCTCTGCTATTTCACCCTGAAGTGAGATGATTGCTGAGAGGGAAAGTTTTAAAATATGTTTTTGAGCTTCTTGATGAACTCAAAACGTTTTTAAATCAGAAAGCAAGTCCACAGTTTGAAGCACTTTTGAGCGATAAAAGTGAACTGCAGAAAATAGCTTACTTGGTTGGCATCTTTGTCATCATGAATGAGTTAAATTTACCACTGCAAGAACTAAGTTCAACATACCTCGATGTGTCTGAAAGGATCCAATCATTCCAAATGAAACTTCAGCTTTGGAAAAAAAAAAAGTTGGAAGAAAATAAAATTTACATGTTACCTACCTTATGTACTTTCTTTAGGGACATGACATTGAACCAGACAGAAGGATTATGATGATAATTTCTGTGAAAGAACCCTTGAACATGCTTGTAGATGAAATTTCATCCTACTTTCCAAATCTACCTGACACCCCTGTTGCACTTGTCAGAAGCCCATTCACAGCCAAAGTTAAAGATGTTCCTGAAAGAGCACAAGAGGAGTTCATTTAACTGATTAACAGCAATTCAGCGAGAACTGATTTCTCTACAATGTCAGTTACAAAATTCTGAGTGTTTGCAGTCATATCCTGTTCTGTCTGAGACTGAGTTGAGCCTTCTTCTTTCATTTCCAACAACATATCTTTGTGAAACAGGGTTTTCCAGCTTATTGGGTATCAAGCCTAAATACAGAAGTAAGCTTGTTGTGGAAGATGATCTTCGTTGTGCTCTTGCAAAGACTAACTCAAGAATTC